ATTTTCCCATCTAGACCGGCATCTAGACCAGTTTCATTTTGCGTTGAAAAAGTAGCAAACTAAAATACAAAAATGTTCACCGTTTTCTTTTATTTTCTTGTCAATCATTTATGGAAGTGCCAAAAAGCGTGATGACAAAAAACAAAAGTAAAGAGGTCGAGCAAATTTCGGCAGGTTTAAGTTAAGCTCATCTCCGTTTCCAAGGAAAATGTCAGTAAACCAGTTACATTAAACGAATTAAAGTTTTCTTCTTTGCCATACAATAAACATCTCGTTAACCGAGCTAAGTCGGTCTGTATGGGAGAATCTTAACCTCGGTCAAGATTCTCCCATACAGACCTCCTGCTCTAATAAGAGCTAAAAACAGAAGGCCAAACAATATACAGAAAACCTCACCGCAAAGTTACAAAGCTCAAATCAAAATTCTACCTTTTCCTGGGTTAGCTTAATTTAGCTCTGAACAACTCGGCCCAGGAGCTACGCTTTTAGGCTGGCCTTAATCTATATATTAATTGTTAGTTATACGCCAATTATTTTCAAGAGAATGAAGAGAAATAAATGGAACTTACTGTATAATTTAGAAACATCAGCTGATGAAAGCGTTCGCAAAAATACCGCGAGATCCCTTAAGGAGCCTTGAAGCAATTCACCCGTGTCTTTCTTAAAGCCAATCTCATACACTGTGTGATTAGTCAACTTAAGGTCGATATCTTGTCCTTGATAACTGGAAGTCGTATCTCCAACTTGTTTTCCATTAAAATATAGTTTTCCTTTCCGGGTTTTGCGATTCCAGGTAAATACCACATGTGTCCATACGTTTGCGCTAATTTCACTGTGAAAACAAACAAAAAAAAGTGCGTTTACAGTGAAAGTAGAAACAACCATATTATACCCAGGGTGAAAATCGTCATCGGATGACGAAACTACTGCTCAGGGCCACGGCATTTGTCTACCCCAGGGCAAGCGCAGGGCATTTGACTGTCTTGTGGTTTTTGTCTCGCATGTGGCGGATGACACAAACATGATGTTCGGTATTTATTTCACCACCTTTTGTTCAATCATTGTACGTAAATGAACTCTGCATGTCAAAATAGGTGACTGACCAATGGAAGGATAAACACACATGTGAGAAAAACGACTTAAAACATTATGGCGAATAATTATATATCACTCTTTTCAATTATGATTGTTTTCAATTTTGAGCAGCGTTGCTTCCTGCATGAGGCCGAGGTGGGGCATTTGCGTTTTTTCAAGCCCAGTGGCTACCTGATACCTGTCGTTTGATTCGTGGGGAAGGGGGAAGGGGCTATTGACTGATGCATACAAGTGATCCTGTAAACAGCTGATGGAATAATCTGAAAACGACAATTTGTTAGAGTTTTGTTTATTTAAGCATCAATCTGCTTACCTATTGCTGTTCATCCGGAGTAAAAATTGGACCTCTCCACTTCGTCTCAAAACAACATGCATCAGGCGATTATAAATAAACAGTCTAAACTGAAAGGGCGATGACCAATCTGATAGAATGTGTCCTAGCACATATTGGTCCTGAATTTTTAAGCGAATAGATATGGAAAAGTTACTCTTGCGCATATTGATTGCTGGAATCTCGGCATAACCTGCTTGGCCATCAAGGTAAAGAGAGGTGAGTCCATCTTCAGTTTTATAAAGAGCTGATCCTTGCAACCTTAAAAAATAAAGCATGACCTCATTTTATCATCCAGCTAGATTCGGAGTCACGTCAACACTTTGGTTAATAAAGTGTGTCTCAATTGGAACCTTAAATTGCTGAAAATGGTTAAATAGCTCTTTAAACAGCTCCAATTATAATAAAGGAAAAGACTGACTAAGAAAATGGCCAAAAACAATCAAAAC